GCATTCCTGAGTCCACACTCCACCGGAGCAAAGTTTGGAGGAGCCACACCGCTCTGATGGAGCTAGAAGCACAAACACTGTTTAGAAACTTTGACACTAAAAATTATGCTTTACTTTCAGTCCTACTAAACCAGCATATCAGAATCTACTGGAGAGTACAAAAATGGCAAGATAACATGGGGATAATTGGCTGGGTCTCTGGTTTTTTGGGTTTGTTTTTTTTTTTATTTTTGGAGTACAAGAGAAATAGAAAATTAAGGTTTTTTTATGTATTGTGGATGCTTATGCACCTTATAGGAAATTGTTCAAGGCTTTCATTTACCTGTATCAAAGCACCAGAGGAAGTACTAACCATGTCTTGACTTAAACAACCACCATGTCAACTTGATGATGCTTTTCATGTGGCCTTATATTTCTCCACAGTACTTTGTATGAAATCACCCTTTCTATTAAATGAGATATTCTCCCTGATGAATGCATTTTCTTTACACCCAGTGTAAATATGGCTAAGAAGTGGAACTGCTGGCAGCAGGAGTGCTGTGTTGTAATGGCATGGTATGAGTAATAAAATGAAATGCCCGTAGCACAACTGGACTGATGGGTTTCCATGGTGCGGAAAGACGTGCATGTGTAGTATTGTAGCAGAGCTGATGGTAGAGCTGTTGTGCTCAGAAGCACATGGTGGTGTTTTGCTGGGAGACGGCTCACCAGCCGAATGAATTATTTCTGTAGTTCCTTCTGGACTCTTCTCCCTGCAGCCACTCCTGCACTGAAGCTTAGTTGAGTGCTGAGGGCTTTTTTTCTGGATGTGGATAACTAGGAGTGCACTATCTCTTGCTCTCCTTTGTTGTTCTGAAATTCTGGTCTTGTTCCCCAGTGTGAGCAAAGCACTGTTCTCATCTGTGTAAGTGCAGATTTGCTGATCTCAGCTAGCACTCCCCTGAAATGGGCAGAGACCTGTTTCAGTTGAAAGCAGAATATGTCATTATTTTTTATGCTTATGTCTGTAGTTTATAGAAACTATAGGCTGGTTTGGGTTGGAAGCAACCTTAAAGCTCATACAGTTCCAACCCCACTGCCAGGGGCAGGGACACCTTCCACTAGACCAGGTTGCTCCAAGCCCCGTCCAACTTGGCCTTAAACACTGCCAGGGATGGGGCAGCCACAGCTTCTCTGGGCACCCTGTGCCAGCACCTCACCACCGTCACAGGGAAGAATTACAATTAACAGTAGTAAGTATTCAAACTGCACCAAATCAGAGTGTTGTGCTAAACATGCTGAAGGGTTTTGTGTGTGACCTTTAAAGTGCTCAGAGCTGTTCACTCAACACGTACTGACCACAGCCTGCGTGCTGGTGAGTATGAGTGCAAGAAGCACTCTGTGGTTGAAACTACTCTGCTAGTAGCCTGGGTGCTCATAGTGTTGCTACTCTCCGTTGATTCCTAGTTTTCCAAATTCACGTGGTGAAGAAAGAGATGTTGCTGCTCTTTTTCCCTCAGAAGACCCTTAGAACAAGAAGTTTGGTTTTTTGGATGCCATTTTAGCATGCTCATAACCAAGGGAAAAGTGTCCTCTCTCAGGCCAATAGCCAATGTACTTAGTTTTGTTTTACAGACTAACCACTTACGGTGTTCACCTGAGCAAAACAATTTGGAAACGTGTCATAATTCAGTAACATTAGCTTATAGCATCCAGATGATGGACTGGAGAATATGGAATTTAAACCAGTGCGTCATGGATGTGTGTCACGATGTAGAAGAGCAACAGCTCCCTCTTTGTTAGGCTTACCACTTGCCCGCTCCTGCAAGGTGTTCATGCTTGGGACATGGGACATCTCATGGATGTGCATGAATAGCTGAGCCGTGATGTGGCTGTGTCTGCACTGCCCTTCTTGTTCCTTCCTGCTGCATAATGGTTGTTTATGGATGAAGCATGGCTGGGATAGCTGCTCTTATTGCACTTTACTGCCTGAACTCTGTCGTTCAGTCTTATCTTAAAGAAATGGAATCATGGGTTTGTACTTATTTTTAACTTTTATTAAATAAAAAGTATGTAATGAGACTAGGTTTAAATCATCAAAAAATTGTGAATTTTCAGCTTTCATACACACCCATTCCAGAACTATGTAAATCCTTCTGGATTAGGTCATATATCTAAGCCAGTGGAAGATTTCGGGGATTGCCAGTTCACTTACCTGTAAATGCAGGAATTTTTGGATTCTGTTGTAAATGGACCAGTGCTTATCCATGTATAATTTCACACGCTTCTTGTATTTGGTAGAATGCCTACACCACTGCCAGGGCTTGGGGCTTTTGCATGCTCTCTGAAAACAAGACTTTTGGGGTCCATAGCTCTGTTCTAGTATGGCCTCTAGAAGCCATCAGCAAAAGGTGCTGCTCTGTTAGTGTTGCAAGCTGTGTGCATGGCACGACTCTGGAAATAAAGAAGAGATAAGAATTTGATTCAAGAGATGACTGCGCTAGCCCTGGTTCTTCTCTAGTGGGGAAGAGGCTCTGGCAGGCACGTGTCACGTCCGGGTCTTGTCTGGCAAAGAGGTGTCCAGCCATGGTGGCAGCAGCAGCTACTACTTCACATTTTTAAGCATGTCTGCAGATTTTTTCCCTCAGACCAGTTCCCAGGCTGCAGCAACATTTATTTCTGGCGAGGTTATGTTTTAATGGAAGAGAAGAGGAGGAGAGGGTGTAATGACACCAGCTTTCGTTGCAGCCTTTCACTGCAAAGTGAGTCTCTGTAGTGGGAGCCCTCAGAGCGCAGACTGGGAGTGGTGGCTCAAGGCTTTGTCTGCAGAAGAGGACATCGTTCTTCAGGTGTGTGGAAGGTGAAAAGAAGATCCCATGGATGGTCCTGCTCGTCCCTCAGGAGAAAGGAAGGCTTTCCTGTGGGATCGGTGCTGTACAGAGTAGCACAAGCTCTTCAGCCCCTGGGCTCTGTGGGTCTCCATAATACTTTTGTCTCCCAGGGGAAGCTGTCCTACTCCTCTGCTTCTACCTTTTTCCCAGGAAGATTTTTCTGAGCCTCAAGTCATATCCTAAACAATACCTGTAACTTTTTTGCCAATTTTTATATTATCTCCCTTGCTTTACATGAGATATGACAATGGATTTCACAGTTCCATGCTCATCTTCCTGTTTTTCCTTAGAACCATGCTGTGGTCTGAGCTGTTACGCACAGCCAGGAGCTGCAGTCAGGACACATCCTGATGAGGCTGGAGACCAGAACAGTTCACACACGAGGAAGTCTTCCCATGTGCTGACACAGGTATTGTGTGGGCAAAAGTCCTGTCTTGAAGGAGTGTCCATGAAAACTAATAGTCTTCTGTAGAAAAATGGATGTGCACTCAGATGCGTCCATGGATTTAGTGCTATGTTTTGCAGGTAGGCCAACATTGCTCTCCTGTGTGTGGTTACACAGCCAAACCTTCAGCTGGGTGACCGCTTGCCTTGCTCGCAAACCGATGAGCAATGATCCACTTGGGGTTTGAATACTGGAAGCAGGAAACCTTCCTGAAGCTGCAGCACTTGCTGGGCAGAGGTGAGCCATGCTGGTGGGTGGCTGCACGTCCTGTGTACTCCTGTGGCTTAGGCTACAGCTCTGGCTAGCTCCCCATTTCCAGGTGTGAAAGCTGTGCTCAACATCCTGTGAATGATGAAGGTGGCACTTCATCCATCATCTCTTGTGAGCTGAATCCTGCCCCAGGGTTGCATCTGGCTTGAGTTCATCTGCTGGGGTAAATCCTCTAACCGGTTTTGAAGTTTAATCTGTGAGCCCGTCTGCCTGTTTACCTTCCATTCGTGTCTGACAAGGCAGCTTGAGGCAGGCAGGTTATGGCCATGAGAAGGCAAACTTCTTCCATGCGTGCAGGAAGAGTTAATCATGACTCAAAACCTGGCGTCCTACAGGCTAAGGAAAAAAGCAAGACGGTTCAGGAGGAAGCTGCAAAGCCTCAGCCACGTCTGCTCCCAGTCCATGCAGTCTGTGGAATTGCCTTCTTTGCAGGAAGTATGCTGGCACTGAGGTATTTTCTTTCCAGATTGCTTTCACCCTTGTCAAATGCAGCCTTCCTTGTTTTCTGCTTCAGTTCTTCAGTGTAGGAGCAGGAAATTGGGTGACTTTTACATCCTGATGTGTGCTAAAGGCCATGGGCACATCTTACACATGCAAAAAACTTGAGGAAGATGGAGTATACCCTTTCCTGGGAGAATTTCCTAGATAGGAAGAATACCTTAGATTTAACTCTCTTGTAGTGTGCCTCGGGTTCAGAG